ACTAGACGTGAATTCTTGCGGACTTATTCGCCGGACCATGAGGTGGCGATAAGAGTACCAGTCTTAGAAACAATTTCAGACTTTCCGATTGGTTAGAATTTTCTGAGATAACATTAATTACATCCCCTAACAGAGTTATGGTGGTGAGGTTTTTTGGAAAGATTAAAGGCAGTGGTGCGCGGAGATTTGGTGAATCCAGTTGAATTTCCTACAGTAGCTGGAAATTCTAGAGGGAATTTTGAGTGAATTGAAATAGTGAGATATTTCAAGTCACTGTTTAGAGAAGTGATACTAATCTGCCGCGCTTCAGTAAATCCCGAAATCCCCGCTTGGGCTCCCGTATTACAACCGATCGTGATGAAACTTGACATGTATGAGTAATTTTTCATAGAGAAGGTTTTTAGGCTTTTTTCTGTAACTCTCCACTAGATGGCGCTGTAGAACAATTTTTTGAAAGCACTGTTCTATAACGCTGCGCACGCTTAAGTTCGTTGATTCTAATTCTGTCAAAACATTGGAAAAGCAGCGATACAGCTGTACAAATATGAAACTCACTTTCTTTTGTCTTCAGCTTCACTGGACAGATACGTCATAAACGCAGATGCAAGCAGACACTCTTTTGGTAGTTGTTCCACTTGTTCAGATAATTCTTGCAACTATAAAACGATATCAGACCATTTTCCATTAAATAAAGTCTTCTCATACCCTGTCTATAAAGTATCTTTACCTGCTTCTGCCATCTGTCGTATTCATCACCTAACTTAGATACCAATCCTTCCGCTGCCCCAAGAGTAGCTTGTGCCTTGTTCAAGTCAATTTCGATTTCAGCTGCTTCCTTAGTGAACGCCGAAAGCTGCTGTTTCAACTTGGCTACAGTAGCATCAACATCTAGAAGTCCTGCGCTGAGTTCTCCCAGTTGAGCCTCCGCATTGGACAGGTTTCTGAAATTCAAAACGAGGAAGTTCTTCAGTGTTCACTTCCCGGGCCCTTCTACACCACAATATATAAAAAAAAATCATGTAGGTTTTCACTTACTGCTTCAACTTATTCTGCTCCTTCTCCAAGGGTAGGATTTTGTCCATGACGTAGGAGTATTTGACATTTGCTGCGACCCAAGCAGCCAAAGGAGCTGCAGCTACAGAAGCTCTCCTCGCGGCTTTGGCGTCGAAGGAATCGCTCTTGTTTGACATCAGACGTTCCACTGCTTGGCGGTTTTCTCTAACGATCCTGCTTGCGTCAAATGACCTGAAAAATTTACAATAGTCCTGCTGACTTCCATTTAGTGTGAATACTCCAACAAACCTTATCTCTTCCTTTATCCCTCTTTTGGCAAGGAAAGTCTTCATGCTGTTCCATGATGTGTCTTGTATGCCCATGAGTCTCAAAACCCCTTCCAGTATATCCCTGATGATCTCTGGAGGAGCTCTGAGCGACCGTATTTCTGACAAAGACTCCGATTTGATGTTGCCTACTGCTGATCTGGCTTCCTCGATCAACGGTTCTACTTCTGAGAGCTCTGCTTCTATTTCCTTTTTCCTGTGGAGAGATTTGGCCGATTCACCGGAAATTTATGTATTTTGAACGTACTAATTTATGAACAGTTCCATTTTCTTTCAATTTTCAGACTTACCGTTTCATAAGCTGGACATTTTCTTCCTGTGTCTTGCTCTTCAAACTCTCCATTTCTTCTTTGTGTGAATTGGCATTCTTCATTGTGTTGCTTATCATGTCCAAGGCCAAGTTTGCTTTTGATCTCTTCTCTTCCAGCATTGTCTGCTTCTCTGCTGCTTTTTCTTTCAAGCCCTTCACCAAGGATTCCGCCTCTGTTAGTTTTGCCACACCAGCCTGAGAATGATCAGTAACACAAAATTATTAATTTGTAGCTGAGAATATCATTTTCGAAGCATATACACGTCTTTGAAAATTGGAATGGAAACATTCTGCCTTGTTCTTGGCAGAACAAGATACGAATCAATGCCAACTGACTGCCCGATTTAGCACCTATTGATTTTTGTTCTAAAATTGTCATCCTTGAATTCTCACCTCTAGTTTTTGAATTCTGGCTTTGATTCGAGTAAGTTTTTCATCATAAATGTTTTCGTATAGTTTGATCATGGCTATGTACCTCGATGGGGTGGAATTGTGGCCTTTCATAGTACGATATATGGACGAAAATTCTTCAGTGCATTGAAACTTTGAATCATTTTTCTCTTGTGTTGGACAATTCCTGTAACAAAATAAGGTTTTTTCGGTTCATCGCTGAAAAACAGTTGAAATACAGGACAAACTTCTAATTAAATTAAGAGCTGCGATGTTTTCTGATCAGGTAGAGTTATTGCTGAGTCTTCGGCAAACATTGTGACATAAACATAATCTCAATATTGTGAGAGATCATCTACATATAAGAGAAATAGCAAAGGGCCAAGAACTATACCCTGTGGCACACCTAGTACACCTAATATTTTGATTATTCTTTTTTCCGACTTATTATATTCGATATAAATCGTTCTTGCATAGCTGCTATTTCGTAATTTCCAAAAAAACGTTTAGTTATGCCGTATCCATTTTCAAGATGAATAGCTTTTTTCAGTATGGAACGACAGTCAAACACATGTTCAAGTTTCATTTCAATGCGCAAATTCTTTTCAAACTCACTTTTCCAAAAGGATCCTAGGTATTTTCTCTATCGTATCGCTGCTCCAATCTGATTTCCAGACAACAGAACTCTCTTGCAGAAGAGCGGGACAGTTTTGGAAAATGTTCCACAGATTTTCGTTGTCTACATCCAGACAGGCTACCACGTGAAGATGTTGCTTCACTCCTGGAAGTCGATATCTTTTAATCCAGAATTGGACGGCTTGGAAAGCCTACTTACGTTCGTGGAAAAACTGAATCAAACTCCCGTCGAAGTTTTCTCTGTCAGATTCTTCTTTCAAAGCTTTCACAAGTGACTCCAACTCCACTGGAGTATACAACCCAGGAACCTAGGCAAAACTTTTATAATAAGTTCACTTGAAGCAGAGAAGCATATCAAAATTTCCATGAATGTGCTCTAGAGCTAGACAAATAGATAACAATACCTCGCCTGACGACAGCAGCAGATTGAAAATGTTCAGGTTAGACTCTTTGTTCAAAATGTAATCTTCAATCTGGAGGTAGATCTCTTCTCCCTCCACTCCAGCGTATTGCATGGCCTAAAACACAAAAATCAACTAAAATGAGTTCCATAATTTCAAAATGTTGCAGGGATCCGATACGAACCCTTATCTAAGTGCCAATATACACACTATTACCTTAACTCACAATATATTTCTTTAATTTTCTCGTAGATACTCACCACTTTCAAGTCATTATTGAGTTGAGGTTGTTTCTCGCTAGAAGGTGCTAAAACTTTAGACGACTGCAAAGCTGAGGCAATTTTCAAAGCGCTTCGTCGACCTACCCCCGATTTTCCCACTAGTAACACGTTTCCTCCTGGACAGCTAACTGTTTTCAAGATACTTGCTGTCAAGTCCAGAAGCTCATCGTTGATTATCAGATCCAGTGACTGGCCATCCCGTTCTGAAAATGATAGCCTTCTAGATGAACAGACCTCATCCTACTTGAACTTTTTCACCTACCGCACTGAGTAATTCCAGATTGTACCATTGATCTCCATTCCTCTTTCGTTAGTCCTATCAGTTCGGAGTTTCTCAAGTTGCCGGATCGGTTTTCAATAGGCACATAGTATTTCTTGGTGGAACTAGCTGAAAAATTCGCACCCCAATGGTTTTGAAGAGTGTCATTCACCAACCTGTACAAAATCTCTTTGTCGCCTTCATTTACCAGCCTATTTCCGAAAATGTTTGATGCCTCGTATTTAACAATCTAGAAAAGTTACATAATTTGGCAAACAGTTCTTATTTCGGGTGGTTCTTGAAACTGTTAGTCATTGATGGCCCTGTTAGTCCAATGTTTAGCAGTTCTTACCTCCTGTAGGAATGATTCAGGATCCTTATCCTCAGAGTTTTTGTAACGTAAAATAGCCTTACACCAGTTGGTTACATCGTGAGGACTGTATATGTAGTGCTTGTTTTGTATGGCTGTGAAATTATTACGAATCTGAAAAGGAGCATTCAGTTGGGTATTTTTTCACAATTTATAAAGGAAAATGAAGTAAAGTGTTACGTATTGCTACATCATTCTTCTTGAGAGGAACATAAAGTTAATTAATGGTGAAAAGTTTTTCTTGAAGTCAAATTTTCATTTACATTCTACAAAAAGAAGAGGAAATGGACTTTAAATCAAATCAAACTCAACAACTTATTTCATTACACAATTAAAATGATATAAAAGCTTGCCGTGAGATTAACCTATTTCATAAAAAAACATACGATTCGAAATTAATGAAAGAACAAATAGAATTAGAATAAATATCTTAAATATCAATTATATAAAAGAAACAAAACGTGAAATGAAAATAAATCAAAGCAAATAGGTACTTTATTGTCTGAAGAACGCAATTCTCATTGACAAAGTTTACAAATGAAAAGGTATCTATCGATATGATAAATAGTCAAGTAGGAAAACTAGTAATGATTATAATTAGAAAACAATAGACGCACAAATAAATTAAAAAGAAATTTGGTACGATTAGGATCATACAATGGAAAGAATAAAATAAAATATTCAAGATAAAAGAAGAAAATGATCACAGAGTAAAAATAAATTTAAAAAAATTGAAAAAATAAAGCATGAACTGAGAAACAATTAAAAATAAATGAAAAAAAATAAAAAAAAAATTTATCACCCAAATACGATTGTGGATTCTAAATAGGAACGTCGTGAAATAACTTGATTTGAAATATTTTCATTTTCCTAATTGTTCTAGATTATATTTTATTTTTTATTTATGTTTTATGGCATTTTGTATTCATTTTTTAATTTTATTTCTTTATTTCTATATTATTTATATTTTTTATTGTTTGTTTATTTTTATTGTTCATATTGTTCTTTATCTTGATTATTTTATTTCATTCTTTTTGTTGTATTATTATTTCAAGTTTCATCGCTTACATGTAATTCATATTTTAGGTATTCATGCTAATTTTATTTGTTTTTTTTTTTATAGATTTTGAATCATATTTGACAATAAAAGTCCGAACCAGTAAAATTCACCATGAAACATTGTCGACCTCTTTCAACCATATAATTTCATTCCTAGAATAACTGCCTATATACAATGTACGAGGGAGGTTTAATAAGTACTTAGCCTACAAAAGAAGAACGAAATTTTTGTAGAAGTGTCGACTAATTCCTCAACACAGTCTGCTCTCAGCTCGATACACTTTTTTTTATATACTTCATTATCGAAAGAAGAAAATCTCCCAGACAAAGCAATTGTAAATAGTTATATAAACTAAAAAAAAAGAGTCGGTTGAAAACAACACATTGTTCCAATGATGCTTCCACTTCTTCAACCCGTCTGAAAAATAAGTTTTCTGGAGGTCTGCAAAGTACATCTCCGTGGCGGCGATAACTTCCTCATTCAACTCAAGTTTCTGCCCAGTGAGTGACTTTTTCAAGTTCGGAAAGTAGAAGTCGCCCGGGGCCAAATCTGGAGAATACGGTAGATTGTGCCGCAGTTCTCAGCCCAGTTAGACCAATTTGGCTGTGACGAGCGCGGAGGTGTGAGCCGGTGCGATGTCTTGGTGGAGAAGCACTTTTGTCTCCGCCAAATGGGTCCGTTTTTCCTGCAACTCGGAGTCGAATGTAGATCAGACCTTGTGGATCCCAGAAAACGGCGGTTATCACCTTTGCAGCCTTCTTCGGAGCACGTTCCCCGAGTGAAGTCCACTGTTTCGACTGTTCTCTGGTCTCTGGTGTGTATCAGTGGATCAATGTTTTGTCATCGGTCACGAAACAGCGCAGAAACTCCTTCAGATTGAGATTGAACAGCGTCTAACATCGCTGTGCCGCAAAAGCGGCGCCATCGCTCCGACAGCTTTCCCATGCCCAAAATTTCATGCAGGATATGACCCACGTGGTCTTTTGAGGCGCCTATCGTCTCAACTATCTCGCGCACCTTCAATCTGCGCTGCGCGGTTGTCTGCCAGTACGAGATCGTGGATTTTTGTCACGTTATCCTCCATAGCAGCCGTTTTCGAGGCATCTGGGCGGGGCTTTTCAAAACCGACGTGCGACTATAGAAGGAAAAGAACCACCGTACACATCATCCACGCGCTCCTTGATTTCGTTGCGCGATTTCCCTCCCAAAAACAAGAATCGAATCAGCGACCGATATTGCTCTGTTTAAATTTTGATAAAAATCGCGGATAAGCTCGTTTTCACCGCGGTCAAAACAAAACTATGAGTCTGATTTGGTTGAAATTTTGAAAGTAGCCGCCTACGAGACTGTATCACATGCTAGTGAATTTCTCTTGCGATAGTGGCGCCAGCCATCGGGCGGCGAGGCTGAGTACTTATCGGTCCGCCCTCAAACTCACTTGTATTCTGGTTCATCGACACTGGTGAATCTGGCGAAGAGCTAGCATATCACAGGATATTATTATCATTATCATTATATTCTTATTGGAGCATGAAAATGAAAGCTGATTTTTCGAAATGGTTTGTACTATTAGCTCATTTTTCATTTTTTAGTTATCAGTGGACGTGTTTCTAAGTCTGTTGCTTTAATTTTTTGCATTTTATTTTTTGCTGCATGATTGATCCCTTCGAAATTGATATGGCAACATCTTGTTGTGTTTTAGTTGGTTTCCCTGTTTTGCCGTGGTTTTTTTTGGTTACAATCACCAAACGTTCCAACTGCAACTGCGGCAGTCATCTTCAGTGACGTGGCCAAAGTACTCTTCTTGACGTATCATTTCTGCTCTGTCACTTATTGTGCTGATTTTCTGTAATGGCGAGTTTGCCCGTACTTCCCGCGCGATTTGGGTGACGTGGCTTCGTTTTGGCTCATTTATATGCGATGTGCCAAATCTTTGATATATATACTCTCTCTTCCTTTCTGTTGAAGATCTCTTGGTGTTTGTATATTTCTATGGCTTCCAAATACCCACCTACAGAACTTCAACAGAAAGAAAGATAGAACATATCTACCAAAGATCTGGCACACTGCATTGAAAAACGCCAAAACGGAGCCATCTTGTTTCCACCATTTTAAATTTTGTCCTTTTGGAGTCTTTTGTTTGACATAACAATACGGGTGCATAAAAAACACGGTCCGGCGTCTCTGGAATTCCCCAATATTAGATTCGGAGCGATGTCATTTCATTTTTAGCATTATTTATAGCAAACCCTTTTATTTGATACCCACATCTTGGAAGTACGCTTATCAAAATTTTAATATTATACGCACGCCATAAAAATTACTGTGGAAATCGTAATTTGTCATTTTGTAACGTCCGCCATGTTGGATTAAAAATGGTGGTGTTGAGGTAATCATGCATTGTCACGAGGACAAAACGCGGGTGTCACGTGTATGTCAAATTTGAGCTCAGTTGAATACTGGGTAGTGCGTCAAATTTGAAACTATAGTCCGTTCATAATTTGTTGATAGCTCACTGCAAGTTTGACCCTCATTAGAGAACTGAAATACGGAGAGGACTGCTTATATGATATAATAACAAAAACCAAACTAAAACTGGCAGTTTAAGATGTTTTCGACTAACCCACCTTGTATCTGAAGAAATACAATACAGCTATAAAACTTTTAATCCGATGATTTTACGAGTTTTACGACCGTTTTATGACTTGGGCCCTCATTTTGTGCTATCGACAAATTATGAACGGACTATAAATAAAAGTTTGCGAAAGGAGAAAAAGATACTTTGAATAATTGTAAATGTTACTGCTGACATTTCACATACCTTGTCATACACAGAAATCATAGAGACTGAAATCTTGATAATTTTCGCTCTCGGTAAATTTTGACTGGAAAAGCGATTTTTCAGTATGGCTGTCAAATAGGCACTTACTATGACAGGAAAATCTTCTGCCTCTGGCAAACTGAAAATATCAAGTACAGAGAAACAATAAATTAGTCATATAAACGTAGGAAAGAATTGGAAGGTTGTTTAAAAAGAATTATCTACTTTAAACTGTAATATCTCAGTGGATAGTTATTCAATTTACTCGAAATAAGCGTCATTTGAATCATTGCATTTTTGCCAACGTAGGTCAGGTCAATGAGGTCAGAATTGAGCGAGCCCACACCTATTCAAACTCGACCAAATAAACTCAGCTTCCATAACGAAGCCGATTAGTTTGCATAGTGGTCTTTCAGGTCAGATGGTACCGTAAAAACCAGGTATTCAATCTTTGTTTGGCAAAGCATAAAGCGATTCCAATAACATGTTCTGGTCCAATGAAACTGCTTGCAGCATAAAAATTGTGTGCTCGGGAAGCGATGAAGTCGACAAAGGCAGTTTTTGTCTGGTTTTCATTGGCGAAGGCTTTACCGGCGAGAGAGTTATCGAAGTGCTTGAAAAGATGGTAGTCGTTTGGCAAGAGATCTGGGAAGTATGGTTGGCGAGGCTTTGATAGTATCTACCGCATACGTAGACGAATCGAAAATTATAAATACCTGCACACCATAGTCTACAAACCTGCAAAAACCGCAGTTATATTCTTATTGATAAAACATGAGTATTAGAAATAGGACATTTTTGTCCGTATTTTGAGTTGTACGGGCAAAAATAAATATCATGTATAGGTGGTACTCGGAAATATCAGAGCACTAGTGTTTCATAGATTTGCAACCTTCCAATGATTTGATATAGCATTGTATCATCCAATATATTTAATAAGTATCACATATCCTAGGAATATATTCTAAAATGTCGTTTACTTGTATAGTTACACTAACTTTATAACGGACCAGTCGCCATCTACATTTGAAAAGACCTCACCTGACGTTGAAAATACGCATAATCGACGTGAACCTCTTCGACAAATTATTTCTGGCGGCTAAAGATCCCGTTATAGTGACATTTTCGATTCCCACGAACTCCACATTGGCATCAAAGAATCCCCTGTATACGATCAACTGAAAGAGAACCTAACGTCAGAATTGTTATGTCAAAATTTGCGGGCAGTTCTTCTGGATGTTCGAGATTTTTCAAAAAATGGATATTTTAAGGGTGAGTAACATGTTTTATTTATGTTGGCAAGATAAAGTGAGTTGAAGAAGTTTGATTTGTTTTATCTGGCTGGTTTTTATCAATTGTTACGATTTCTAAATACGTGAACATAACCTCAATGGTGTTGACCGTTAATTTGACATATTTGAACCACTATTTTCACGTGTAAGTGACAGAGTTCGTCAGGATAGTAATGATAGTTAGTTAATTCCTTTATGAAATCAAGCTTTGCTTTGAATTCTGATACGAGAAATATTAGGTTTGGACAATTTTCACTGGAAAAGGAAGGATGATCTCTATATTTCTTCAACTCATTTTATATATTGGTGATAGGGAGCTTATCCAAAGTTCTTACCAAATTATGGAATGAAATTTTCAATAAACAATGTAATAATTTTTGTTGAAACTACGATTCATAATACACATATCGGAAAAGTCTAGGGATATTTTTAAAAATGGCAATAACTTTTTTTTAGATCGCTTTAGGGAAAAAAAGTTGACGGGTGATTATTAAACGAATGTAAATTACAACAAAATTTATTAAATGGTCAAAAATACTGAGTGCGCATATAAGCAATGCAGGCTTTGTTCAACCCATAGAAATCTACAGGGTGGTCGAGTGTACCAATTTAATCGAAATTAAACGACCTCATGCATTTATTTTTATGATATTTAGTATGTTATAAAAATATCCCTAGACTTTTCCGATGTGTGTATATTATTCAACGAGCTAGACATACTAATTTTAACTATGAGTAATAGGTAATAATGTTTCATTTTAGATTTTTAGGATGCAGGAACCCGTCTCCAAGGAGTTGTTATCAAAGAATACAGAACTGGGACAGTATAAAGAGGTCGTTCAAGAGAAAGACGTTCTTATAAAGAACAACAAGGCTAAAATAAAAGAGTTGGAAAATGAAATAACAGAGCTGAAGTTGAAAAACGAGGCACTAGAAGCGAGACTGAAGACTGGAAACTTGGACGAAAATGGTTTTCAGGTAATTACCCCGCGTTCATACTAAACAGGCACTTTTCCCAATCACCAATCCCTGTAATTTTATCTGAAAGCAAACAAAGGCAATATGGTTGTGTATTGGATAGGTCAGTCACTTTGAGAGACTTGATAATTGTATGGAGAACGGTCTCAAAGTTATACGGTCTACCAAAAATGCAAAAGCATGGCAAGGGACGCGACTAGTTGTCTCCGCCATAAGTTTCTTTATCTGCTGAATATTCAATCAAACAGTTTGAGTGGTATTAATTCACTTGATTTCATAAAAAAATGCTTGTTTTTTGATTTATTCTACGCCGGATGTTCCAGTTTCACCTATATCCTCATTCATAGTTCAAAATTCCTTGTTGTTTCAGTCAGTCATGGTCAAATACGATGAATTCCTGAACCAAGTCTGGACAGAGAGGCAAGACTTAATTGACAAGAATACCATACTGGATACGTACGTAAAAAACCTCGAATCTTCGTTTAACGAATTACTAGAAAAGTTTGGCAAAGCCAAGGTTGTTATCGAAGGCTTGATAGAAAACCAGGACGTCCTAAAAAACGAACTGAAAGAGTACCAAAAAGTCATCGAAACCTTAGAAAACAAATACAAGTGTTTGAAGGTTCATTCGGAATCAAAGATAGCGGAAGCGAACGAGGAGATAGAAAACAAGGAGAAGGGGAACGTCCAGGAAGTGGCGAAGCTGAAAGCGAAAATTCTGCAGAGTCAGGCAAAAATAAATGAACTCGAGAAACACGTCAAGTTTGAGGATATTCGTCCAAAACAGTCCATGTTTGCGCCTCTCAAAAGCAACTTATCCAAAGTTTAGTCGCGTTCGATAGGTAGAATAAATATTCTCAATTTCTGACCAACAATTCTGTATTATTCGTTGCGTGTCAGTATGGGTGTGTTTTCTTACCTGACTTAAAAATTCGATGAGGATATTCGTACCCCACTTGTCCGGCTTCAAGAGGTGAAGGTTTTTGAAATGAAGTACCAGATTGCCTTTTTTAGGTTTCAGAACTTTTCCTCTGTGAGTGTTCACCGAGAGGCAGTGCTAAAACAAAAACTTTCAGTATGATATAGTCATAAACATCTGAAGTGGCTACCTCCGATAATTTGGTTACAACAAATTCGGGCAATAAGTTTCCACTGCAGTGTAGAATAACTAGTTCCACGTCAGTTCCCTCGAGAACCAAACTTTTCAAGATCAATCTGAAAGTAAAAATGCAATCGGGTCAAGTGAGTAGAAAATTGCACAATGTTGTATCTGGTGAGACTATTGAAAATCAACCACATATGACTATTTAAAAAAAACTACTTGCGTTTTTGCTGACCCATGGGGACCGACAATTAAAAAGTTTTTGTTGTTCTTTTCTCCAAGCCAGACTCTGAGAGTATCCAGATACTGGGATATTTGACCTGTTTCTATCAACAGCGTGTCAGGACTTGAATTTTCAATGCTGATATTCGGGTTTGTATAATACGAATCGATAACATCCCTCTCTCTGTTGTATCTAGGTTTGAGAATCAGAGGTGGAGCACAATCTCCTGTCCACTCGTAAACCTGAAAAACCATATGTGTACAGGAAGATATAGCTTGTGATGTAATGTTACCTGTTGGGCAAAAAGTTCCTTGAAATCGTCCTGTAACTGCTGTCCTAGTCCGTTGATGAGCGCCACAGAGAAATGCGCCTTGCTTCTGACATCTGCCAGCTGCGTTAGTCCTGTTTTGGCAATGGCTAATCGAGAGCAAGGGATGTTGATATCTCCATCTCTCACAATCCAGTTCACAGCTGAATTAACAAAAAAAAATCTTTACAGCTGACTATATGAATAATTTTTATTTCACTTACCTCTCAAGAAATGATCGCTTATGAGTGGTTCTAAAACTGGTTTTTGTTCTTCAGATAGCTGATTCACAAAACCAGTTACGTAATTTTCTAGCTCCAGATCTTCTTCACTCAAAAATATGATTCCCATCCTGGAAATTGTGGCCGGAGAGGCACTGCTTAGATCGTGGGTTTCGAAAATGAAGTTGACGTTTGGTCCGAATTGAATACGCCAACCTGAAGGCAGCGATAGCAATCGATTGTCGTCCAGCACGGAGTTCAAAGACTCTACCCATTCCGGATCGATGTCTCCATCGCATATTATCCAAGACCATATATCTGAAGACGAAAGAAATAGTTTTCATGAGTTATAATGAATTAGTTAATGAATTTACCTGCACTTTCAGATGCTACCTGTAGACTGAACGTTGTCAAAACGCCATCGTTCCATTGGCTCGTGTCTAGATCCATCTTACCCAATAGCTGGGACCGTGACATGCTTTTGGGGTTTACACAATATGATTTTATCGATTTTCCTAACTTGCATAAACTCTGAAATATAAAATATATAGAATATATTTTCTGAGAATCCAAACGCGTTTTATGTATAATGCCGTTTTTGTCGAAACTATGGAAAATGTTCAGATTTTCCCTCCATTTTTGTACATACTCGATTAATCAACTGCCTTATGGTAGTTTTCCCTGAACTCGGTGGTCCCACAATAGCTACGCCCATTCTTTGTTGTAGTTGTTCATAAAATTCCATACATTTGTTAATCTGCAACGAAATAATCAATTTCCTGATTCTCAGTAATGCATTTTTCTACTTAATCGAATCGATTTCAACACACCTGTCTTTCATTTTTCTCCAGTCCCATTTCCTCAAAACTCTCTTCGATACACTTTCTCATTATATCATCCTTTGAAATATCAATATGCACTTCTCTAAACACATCTTGAATAATGGAGGCGAATTTTGTGCTATCCGAGAATGAAAGTTTGGATAGAGTGTCAATTTTAAGAACTTGAATCGTCATAGCCATTTCTGGATTCAAACTATTATCTATATCAGTGTTTTGAGCTTTAAATTTTTTCATTGCTCTGCCACAGCCGCTCAGAACCGTTCTGATTGATCGCAGACCCCAGTCGTAGTGTTGTTGCTTGCTCAAGAGTTTACTGAAAGTATAGAAAGTTACGTTTTGCACATGATAATTCTCTCATTGGAAAATAATCACCTAGATATATCGAAAACTTCAACAAGCTTCCTTGCTATCAGATTGGCGTTCCTATAACCGTCACAATGAAGCAAGGCCCTAGCTATTTCCTCATTGTCGGGATGTGTCATAACAACGGGTCGGAACAGTTGCTTCAGATTATCAGGTAACTTGTTTCTGCCACCGTATCCCCCACCAGCAGGATTCAGCGTAACGAAAATTCCGCAGTGTTTATTGACGGTAACCTTAAAGTCACAAATGCATTACTTCAAGTAAGAAGATCTCAAGACATACCTCCTGATCCAAAAGTTGAACACTATTCTTGTTTGTTCGGATGGCGACCTGAATGACATGTATCAGCATGGAAATTGCTGATAAAGTGGCTTCATCTAGTCTATTGAATTCGTCAAAACATCCCCAAGCTCCGGTCTTGACCAAACCTGTTAAGATTCGTCCCATTGATGCAGCGTCTATGCCCTTCAAGATTAAAATAGTGACTTGAGGTAGGTTGCAGATTATTTTTGCAAGCACTTTACCTCATCACAGTTGAACACTAGAACCTGTCTCCCTAAGAGACCTCCTAGGGCCTTTACTGATTCGGTTTTTCCAGTTCCTGCAGGTCCGTATGGATTGCCACCCATTCCCAAATGAATCCCCTTGAAATAACAAAAAAGGAAATTAGTTTGGCGCTGATTCCCAGTGGCGACTGCTTACCTGCATTAGTGTGAGGAAACATCTGTCGGTTAGCGGAGTTCTTACTAGTTTGGGAGCATTGCCCAAATACTCATATGAGTACTCGACCCTCGCATTAGCCATCTTAACCGTAACTTCTCCAACAGAATTAGCATAATACCTATAATATAATTCGCTTTGTCATGAAGAGGTTGTTTTGTCTTTTTCTCTTACCTCAATTGTTTTTGCCAAATCCAGTCTGAAACTTTAGTAATGTTATTGGTCATAAGCTCTTCTAGAACTGATATATGATGAATTGTATCCAACAGAAGTGCTTTCAGCTTCAATTCCAAGAGGATATCTCCGTCTGCAGTATTAGTGCCACTATTTAGCTCTAGAGAGCTGTAATGCTCGAGTTGTGTCTTAAAAAAGAGGGTAAGTAAAAATTATGCTTAGATTTAGAGGTGAACTACAGTATTTCTCAACCATTTTCATATAGTTGAAAATAATATGGTAGTAATGGGGCAAATGAGTTCGATACATAATCAGTTTCCTATACTTCTACTTCATAAGAACTGTCATGGCATCAATACCTTGTATTTCGCGAGCAATGGTGGAACAGTCATGCTGGATATTGCCTGTTCACATTTGGCAGTGAAAGTGATACTATCTGAGAGACACAGGACCTGGGAAGGGTATAAAAGCGGATCTGGGGCGGTTTTTTCTTTCTGGCAATTCACTAGTAATTCTTTGAGGGTTATCTGCATTTGTTTTACCAGTTCATTCAACCATTCCTTGAAATGAAGACATGGTCGTTATTATCGTATTGAGATTATGAAGTGAGGAACTGTCATTATCTTCACTCACCTCAACTGGCTTTTGGATATTCACTGGATTCGAGAGGAAAACTGTTTCTCCTTGGGACGAACACATGGCAGCAATTTCTTGTCCAGTGGATGACAATTGGACTGTTGCGATTCCCATGAATATCTTTTTCAAATGACTCTGAATTACGTGCTCTTTGGAAGACTGCCCAACAACTTCCAACAGATCATCGTCGCTGAGAAAGAGAAACCTCGGAAACTTTTCTCGTTTTTCCTGTAATAAAGTTTCACCAGTTGCTTCACATGTCATGAGAGAAACGGGACAAGGTATTCATACCTTCAGAAAGCTATCCAAACTAATCTGACACCTGGATAACTGATCCATGATAGTTTCCAAAAGTGATCTCAGGTTTGGATATCGACATAGGGCTGCAACTCGCAGATCTTTCTCGATGAAGGTCAGAATGTGTCGAAAATCTCTATCTATCCTTTCGAATCTACTTTTTTCTTGAGCCAATGTTCCGCTGACAAATATTGGCTCGAGATACAACCATCTGAAACGGTAGATTACGATAAGTGAAAGTGTTGAATTCCATATCTTGCGCGGCTTTGAAAACCGTCTTTGATAGTCAAAAAGCATATTTGACGTAACTTGCTTCATGAATCAATGACTTTCGCAAATTATCGTCATTCAACTATTGAAGAAAACTTCTTTGATCAGTTATAATAACTTTCAAAGTTTGGAAACAGTTAACATTGGATATGATTAGTATTTTTTGACACTTCATTTTATATCCGTGGGTTGGGCTACCTATCGGGCGCGTCCCCAGGTGGCAGGGAACGGGAGGCAGGGAACGGGAGGCAGGGAACGGGAAGCCAATGTGGCCTTACGGACGGGGCCGCTGGACTCCTGGTCAGTGGCAGAAATAAGCGGGGTGAGAGGAACCAAAACTCCCCAGAAGCCTTTGCAAAACATACCACCGTGGACCAGCCTACCCAAGCTAAGGTGTAAGGAATCGTGTCGACAGCTGAATGGCCACAGGGTGATATGCGGTCCCGCCCGGGTCCCCTTGGGGACCTGGGCGAAACCTCATTGTAATCAGCCTTCCTCTGGTGAAGCGGGGCTCAGCCAGAGTGACTAACTCTCTTCCTGCTATTCGTGGGAACACACTTGAATGAAACAAACACAAAAACAGACGAATCCCGAGGCTAGACATTAGGAATTTTCAATTTGAGAGTTACATCTATACAAAACATTACTTTCGTTGAATTTGAGCCAAAGATGAAAGAAAGTAGTCCAAATCTGCAAACTTGTTCTCCCAGATGGTTACTTTTTCAACGAAAGAATCGTAATCTGTGGAGTTTTTCAATGACTGCAGCAAGCTTTGGTTGTCTCCAATCTGTAAAAGACCCAAACTGTTGTAATGATTCGAAATGCATTCGTTTTTTCACCTTATTGAGAATTTCTTTGAAATCTTTGATAAGAAACATGTTCTTGTCCCTGGAATCCTTATGACCACTAACTACGAATCTGCAAAGGACATCCCATTGGTCAAGCTCTGCGAGTGCTTGCTTTACAACGATTTCACTGGCTGCTTTTTTGGCTATCACCTGAAACATCGAAAAGTCACACATTTCTTCAAGGTTATTGAAGATTTGAATACACTTACTTGTAAATCTTTCAATGAATTCTGAATATCATCACAGGCTTCCAAAAAATCGTTCAATATGAGCTGGTCTACAGGTTTGATGTCCATACCGAGAAGATTGAAAACGTCTATCCAATGCTTTTCTGAGAAATCTTCCCCTTTTACATATTTCAAGGACGGGGCAACACACTGAAAAATATTTTGAATGTACTCTCTTCTGCAGGCAACGTTAGTTGTTAATTTCTATGAGATGTTGAAACAATGGATCTTTCCTAGAGTCTCCATAAACGTTATTTACATTATCTGTGATCGCTGACCGAGAAACAAGTTATCACCTACCTCGTATCTATGTATTTCCTGCAGGAGTCGAGTGACCAATTGGGTATTCTCTGTAGTTTCCAGCTTTTCCTGCCACTTTTTCAAAAAATCTTCAAGTTTGTAAATTTTCTTTCTGAATACTATCCATGGCTCATTTATGAGCTCGTCAAACTCTGAAATTGCATTAATGTAATTGCTATTACATTCGTGAACTCTAAAAAGTTCGTACCTGAGCTAAATTCTTCAAAAATGGCCCAAGATTCTTCTTCTTTCTTCAAACTGTCTTCGATGTCTTTCACCAACAATAATTCTGGTTTCTCCAAACTGAATTTCTTGAAATTTTCCCTTTAAAAAGAGCAGAATCAAATTCAGAAATTCAAATCAATGATTTAAAATAGTTTGTAACTTGTAGACTTTTGGACCAAAACGTCAATCTCAAAGCCCAAAAACTTATACGCTCCGCTAGTAGCTTATAATTCATTTTCTACGAACAACTATATTCTCCCACTCACATCAGTTTCTCCTGTTTCGACTGTATTTCAACCCATTCGCTTCTTTTCTCTTTAATATTTCTCGAATGCTTAAGAAGCTCCTTCATAGTATTATCCAGCAAGTCCCCGGAGTGAGGTCTTGGGTTAACCTCCTCCCACTTGGCTTGAAATCTCTCTATCTCCTTCTCCAGGTTTTCTCTATCGATGTTCAGCGTCGTTTTTATAGTTTCCATCTTGAAATAAAAATAGAATAGTTGGTAGTTCATTAAGTTAATCCGGACCTGCATTATAATGGGAGTATAGGAAAAGTTTGAAGGATGGTACAGACCTGTTTAGCCATGATATGTTGATGGTTATCCAGTAAGCTCTGTAACCTGTCCCAGGCTCCTTTCAACCTACCAACAGAGCTTACTTGTTCTCTGGACCAGCTGGACAGAATCTGCGACTTTTTAGACATTTCCTTGAAGACCTCCAGCATCTGAAACGATTACAGAAACATATAAAGCCATTGAGCCCCTTTAATACACGTCAGGCTCCCTAAATTGGTTTTGGGGTGCACCATAACACTGACCTCGGGAGCTTCTTTCATGATGTTATTGTGGACGATTCCAGATTCTCCGACTTCATCTACAGTCACAGGTTGTCTAGTAAGCGCTGCAGTGGAGTGGTCGACGTAGTTCTGTAGCTTCACCACGTCCTGAGCTATAGAGTCCTTCAAAGAGTACACCAGTTGATCCCAGTAACTTCTGTTATGAGATTCGAGGTCTGACCTCAACCTGGAGAGACCGATGAGAAAGCATCCCACTCTTTCTTCGGTACTAGCGACAAAAACGGTGGATATTTATCAATTGAAACATTAAAATCGCTGTAATTTTTACTGATTTACCTTGGTAGTTTAGCAATTTCTTGCCCAAATGTTTTGGATGCTCTGAAATGCAGATCCCAGTGTTGCCAGCTGGTGAGCTTGGTTGTATCCAAAGGATCCAGCTGTAGCCAAGACTGCCAGTGATTGATTACACCTTTGAGCTGCTCAAAAAGCTCGTCTGTATGTTTAGAAACAGTTTTCAAAGCATTTTCGTTTCTGAAAAACAATGTAAGAACACAATGAATAGGTATTTATTCTTAACGTAAAACACTTTTGCCAGAATTGTTTTGGATTTGCAGTAAGCTATGATTTCTTCGACGAATGACAAAGCCTCCCCAACTCACCTGCTGAGTATTCCTTGAAACAAACTAGTGTCTGGAACTTCAGAAATAGCTCTGAAGTTTCTGGGAATATCCAAAAATTTCTTCAACTGTTGCTCGTAAGTTTTCTTTAGACTGTCCTCATTGGGAAAATACTCCAGCTTAGAGTTTCTATAAATTAGATCTATGTGGATTTCTGGGAGATACAGATGGAGAGTATCTAGACTTTCCAGGAACTGTTTTTCCAGAACTTCACTCAGCTTCTTATCCAGATCGCTTTTCCAGCTTTGCATATTTCTGAACCCTTTGTCTTCGACTTGTGTCATGATTGTTCTGATATTTTTCCCCGTTTCTCTCCACTTACTGTAGTCTTTGATCAAGTCGAACTGCTTTAGGTCGTTTATCTGCAATTTATTATACAGTGTGTAACAACGAAAAGTTAACAGAGCCGTTTTTGAATATAAAAAGTAAGATTTTTTAAAAAAGCTCCGACACGTCGATTTCTAATTAAAATGATACATCTTTCAGACTAATCAGATTTTTTGTAGTACGCACCCCCTCGGAGGGGTGCGTCCGACGACCCTTATTTAGATAGGGAAAGTAGGTCGAGTGGCACCTTGTTTTAAAAGTATTTCGAATACCTTTACAATTCTGTCAAAAGAAAATTTTTGTAACGATTAGTTTTCGAGATAATTTAAAATTGCCATGTTAATAATACATTAGACAGACCACTCGGTAACTTGTATGCCTAAATAAAAAAAAATTCCGAGCAATTCTTCTTATCAGTTTTTTGTTAAATAAAATCCCTTTTTTTAAATCAATACCCACTCCTCTTCTTCCAGTTTTCATTAGTACATCGTTCGATTGTTTTGTTTAAACGGGTCGTGTATTATTTGTTTAAAAATGCTACTGCTGAAAGGGTTTCAGTTATTGCTTTATTTTTTGGCAACGACCAAAATGCTAATAGAACATCAATTTTATTTAACGAGCAAAACCCCGGTAAACACCTAAGCAGAAATCACGTTCTGGGTTTGGTCACAAAATTCAGGGAGACAGGTTCGGTTTTAAATAAGAAAAGAAATGTTCAGAGAAGGGTAGTGAATGACGATAATGCGATTGGAGTGATTGGTCAAGTCATCGCCAATCCCAGGTTAAGTACCAAAGGTTTATCAGCAATGGCCAGAATAAGCCATATTAGCGCATGGAGAATCCTTAAAAACCACAAATTCCATCCTTACAAAATCAAACTTGTTCATGAACTCAATGAGGATGATTTTGACCGAAGACAGGAGTTTTGTGAGGGCATGAGTGAGAGATTAATGCAAAATCTCGAGCAGCTTTATAACATCTGTTTTTCGGACGAAAGCTCATTTTATTTAAATGGTTGCATGAACCGTTACAATTGCCGTTATTGGTGGGATGGAAACCCAAGACAATACGCAGAAATACATACCCAACATCCCCAAAAGTTGAATGTCTGGGCCGGAATATTAGGCAATCATACAATTATAGGTTCATTTTTCATTGATGGAAATTTAACCGGTCATTCTTATTTACAACTTCTTGAAGAGGCAATACAACCTCGTATAGTTGAAATAATTGAACAGGATCCAAGATGTCAAGATGAATTTATCCATTTTCAACAAGACGGTGCACCACCCCATTTATGCCTAGCAGGTTCGAAATTTTTTGAATAATCATTTTGATGGACAATGGATTGGCAGAAGAGGTCCAATTAAATGGCCAGCACGATCACCAGATTTAACACCACTGGACTACTGTTTGTGGGGATATTTAAAGTCTAAAGTTTATGCTACACAGCCAGCCAATTTGGATGAATTGCGTCGTAGAATTATTGATGAATGCCGAGTTATAACTCCTGAGATGTTGAATGATGTAAGAGCAAAATTCGAACAAAATCTTTATTGTTGCATGGAGCAAAATGGCGCACATTTTGAACATTTACTCTAAATTTCCTATGTGAGTTACCCTTATTAGGTGTTACTTTTTTTGTGTGTGCTTTAAAAACAACTATTGGGATTTATTAACCCTAAAACAGTTTTATAAACTTTTCTGTGTCATCAACGTTCAATAAAATCAGCAGGTTGTATTCGTTGTGTAGATAAGTTTTCAGTATGATTCACTTTCTTATCAGAAGCATAAAATATCCACGTCAAAAGGCAACCTTCATAAGGAGGTGCCACTCAATTCACCTAAAAAGTAAGGGTGGTAACCAACCCCATCCCCCGAAAAAATCTCCTTGTAATAAACAAATAATTCTTACTTTTTTACGAAATAAATCAAATGGACACGTATTAGCAGGTTGTCATAAAAAGCAAAAATCTATTTTTTTTATGAAAGTTCTGAACGTAAACGTACCTCAAAAACAATTTGATTTATTTTAAAAAGAGTTGAACTCAATAAAAGTACCTTTAAATCTTCAAATTATCTCAAAAACTAATCGTTACAAAATTTTTCTTTTAGCAGAGTTGTAAAGGTATTCGAAAGACCTTTAAAACGAGGTGCCACTCGACCTACTTTCCCTATCTAAATAAGGGTCGTCGGACGCACCCCTCCGAGGGGGTGCGTACTACAAAAAATCTGATTAGTCTGAAAGGCGTCCCCCTTTAATTAAAAATCGACGTGTCCGAGCTTTTTTTAAAAATCTCACTTTTTATATTCAAAAACGGCTCTGTTAAGTTTTCGTTGTTACACCCTGTATGTAATCTAATATATAAAAATGGATGTTTGTTGGTTGGTTAGTTGGTTGGTTGGTTGGTTAGTTGGTTGGTTGGTTGGTTGCTAAGTGAAAAACTTCTACATCGCTCAACCGATCGTGATGAAACTTGACATGTATAAGTAATTTTTCATATTTATTTATTTATTTATTTATTATTTATTATTTGTTCAATTACAATGAAGTAAAATGCCCAGATGAGCGTAGAACATGTCAGTGTAATAAATATACAGTTAAAAACATTTAAAAATGGAAATCAATTAAATGTGAGACATTTTAGCAGGTGAAATCTGAAGGGATGGTATCTTTAAAATATTCATCAGTTGAGTAGTATGCTCTGTTTAGAAGAAAGTTTTTAAGTTTATTTTTGAGTGTTGTTTTAGAGAGGCTTCTTAGTGCATTTGGAAGTTTGTTATAGATTTTTATTAGAGTATACGGTATATTTTTCTGAATAAAAGTAAAATTAGGAATATTAGTAACCAAATCTGCTTTATTTCTTATTGGGTAGATGTGTGCTTTATCAAAGTCGTTGAAAAGCTTTGGATTGCTTTTAATAAATATTATGCTGTCAAGAATATACTGACTGTATAGGGTCAGTACTTTCTTTTCTATGAATAAAGGTTTACAGCTATCAGTTTGTTTGGATTTATAAATAATTTTAAGGCAACGTTTTTGAAGTGAAAAAATTTTTTTAACGTTCACAGACGCACCCCAAAAAATTAAGCCGTATTTAAGTCTTGAGTGGACTTGTGCATAATAGACAGACATTGACGCTTGAACATTTATTGTTTTAGTGATGACTCTTAGGGCATAGCAATGCCTTGCAACATTTTCTGACAAAGTATCCAGATGAGATTTCCAATCCAGTCTAAAATCTAGCTCAATTCCCAGGAATTTTGAACTTTTACTAGTTGTTATTGTTGATTTACCATCCGAAAAAGTATAATCATTTTCAGCTGACTGTGAGAATTTGATTGCCTGTGTTTTATTAGGGTTCAGCTTTAGGTGATTTTGTGCAAACCAAGCTTCCAGGGTACTTAAAGCATCGAACACATTTCTTTCCAAGCCATCTCCATTTTGTTCTTCAAGGATAACGGTTGTGTCATCAGCAAATTGTATAGTGTTTAAGTTGTTGTCCATTTGTAGTTCATTGGTATAGAGAATGTACAGCAATGGACCTAGAATTGATCCTTGTGGTACCCCTCTAATTATTGTTAGTTCATCAGACCTTATAACCTCATTTGTGATGTGACATTTTTCGACCACGTACTGTTTTCTATTATATAAGTATGATTCTATCAAGTTAGCTAATGTTCTCCTGATTCCATAAGCCTCAAGTTTATTTAGCAATGTTTTATGATTGACATTGTCAAAAGCTTTTGAAAGATCTAAGTTAATCATTAAGCTATGTTTCTTGTTGTTTTGACTATTTATGACTGAACATAAAGCTTGATATATTGCTCTTGTTGTCGATTTACCCTTTCGAAAACCGTTTTGTGTATCACTTAATAGTTCGAATGTTTCAAGGTAGGATATAAGGCGATTATATATGATTCTTTCAAAAATCTTACTAATATTTGATAGTAATGCTATAGGTCTGTAATTTTTTATTTGATCCTTGTCACCCTTTTTGAAGATTGCTTTTATATGAGCTATTTTTAATTTGTCAGGAAATATTCCTTTATTAAGCATCATGTTTATAATGTTATAGAGAAGGTTTTTAGGCTGAGGCTATCAATTTTTCTGTAACTAGCCACTAGATGGCGCTATGGAACAATTTTTTGAAAGAACTGTTCTATAACGCTGCGCACGCTCAAGTTCGTTGATTCTGTTAAAACATTCGAAAAGCAGCGATAAAGCAACATAGTACTAGTATGAAATAATTGCACAAGACTCTCACCAAACACAACTCACCTTTTCCAAGATTTGTCGATGATACATCGTCAACAAATTGTTTTCTTTCGACAGTTTCTCCACAGCCGTTTTCAGCGTTTCCACGTACTTTGCCACCGATTTTTCTTCCCCCCAAGAAACAACTTCCTGTTCTTGAACTAACTTTGACAGTTCCAAAGCACTGGCTAGCATCATGGGTTTTTGGGAAGGAATCATCCTATCTCCAATGGTGTTGTGGAAGTTCGCGATCTGAAATTAAGGGTAGCTTCTTAGAACAGAGTTGAATTGAGGTGGAGAAGTTCGTACTTGTTCAAGTGTTCTGGCGAACTTCATGAATTTCTTGGCATGCTCGCTCGTTTCTTCTATGAGGCTAGGAATGTGATATCCCATGGCTTTCAACTGTCTCACCTCCGATGTCAGAATCACTAGCCTTGGGGAATAGTTGACGTGCATCAACTTCTGTTTGGAGAACTGTACAACTGGATCTGACTCCTTCAAACTGAAAGTGACCAACAAAGAAAATCCATTAAGAGAGAACACAATATTAGTGACAAAGCAAAGCGACTACCTAAGACTATTGTCGCTGATAGACCCGATGATTTCCGAACTCCACGCCTCAAAGAGTTCATTGTGCTGCTGTTTCAAGTCCTTAGCCAGCTCAGTGACCACTTGGTTGAGATCTTGGTAGCCTTGTAAATCTCCCAGCAATTTCTGAGCCACCTTCAGAATCTCGTTCGCTCTCCCCTCCAGCTGTCTGATCACTGTTATTTCTTTGACTACTTCTGGAGTATCGTATCGAGTGCTGACGACCGGGTTTTCTGAGGCAGCTTGCGATTGGATCTGTTTGACGTAATCGTAGAGGGACACCATGAGGAACTGGCGTTCCAGAAGAAGTTCCGATCTGAGAACAGGCCTGCTGATCAATTCGGAGTAACGAGAATACTCGTAGATGAGCTGAAAAACAGTTGGTACACTGAATTGCTGTTTGGACGGGTTAAATAATTGTTAGAAACGTACTTGTCTTGTATTGGCGTTGACAGTAGCAAGCTGTTTCTTCAATTTGATAGCGACTCTTCGCTCAGCTGGCTGAATGAGATATTCAAACTGTTTCTCAGCTTTGCTCAGAGGGTTTGACAGATCTTGTCCCTGGAGAAATATGTCTACATCTGAAACAGAGAAATTCAAACATTTTCTGGTCCTTCGAGCCGGATACAGTCAGGAAGAAGGGTAATACCTTGAAAACACTGAAACATATCCTTAGTGTTCAGTTCGACTTGCTCTTGTGGTGTCAAAAGTCTCACCAGTTGTTTGTGAAGTGTTCTGATGTTCAAAATCTGGAACATTTTGGTTGGATAACTATTTACAGAGATCGGGTGTTGGAAATAATCAGTTTTCATACCTTTTGGAGGAGAGAGACCGTTCGAACTAATTCGTCCGGCTGATAAACAGTTTCTTTCCATGGATGAGAGGGGTAATTTGGCCAGAAAATTTCTGTCAGTTGTTTACAGCTGGTCAGCCATTTCTGGCCAACGGAGATCTGCTGGAGAAGAGCGTCAGCTATTTCCAAGAACTCGCTGTTCCACAGGTCATGTTTTTTCAGCTGGTTTGAACTGAATTTCCACACATCTGAACCTAAAATGGAAATTGCTGGTAACAGTTTGAATAATACAGTTGTTCTTGATTTCCAGGACCTTTTAATTGTTGTAGTGAATCCTCAGGCTCTGTATACTACTGGTACTTACCAATAATATCCATGAGATGTTTGATTCTGTCTTTGGGAAAAGGAGGTTCATGTCTCCATAAATCGTCCAAGACATTGTGGCTCTTTTCTAGTAAGTCTTCCACATCGTTGATAGAAAGAGCATCTATTATGCTGAAACGAAAGATGTTGCAGGACTTGTCACTGGAGTTTATAAATTTTATCATGCAGAATAAAGAAATATTTTTAACTTTTTTGTGTTCCCAAGAGCTAAAGGACATACCAAAAAGTGCCAAGTACATATCACAGTTGTTTCGAGAACTGGAAACAACGCCGGCAAGCAAAAGTGTGTAATATCTGAAGGGGGCTTCTTTGAAGGGGACAAAATTCGCCTCATTTCTTCAACAGACAACGTATGTTTGTTAATTGTACTGCATGAAAAATTATTTGTCAAATCTCCTTTATTGTTGGGATTTTACTTGAGAAACTTTCAGAGCTGGGTTTATTTCATGGTAATTATAACAAGAGAATAAACGCTTCTTACCTAAAATCACCAGCTATTGAAGATAAACAGTCTTTGAAAAAAGTGCGTGCTGCTTTTGTCAATTTGTCTCTTTTTGAAGTTGGTGTGACGGTATTCCAGTAAGAAACTTCATGCTCAAGGGAGTTCACAACTGAAAACGAATATGAATGTAAAATAAAAACAGAAATATAATTTATTTGAACTGAATTGAAAAAATTGATTGCCTAGTGCAGGTATTCATCGACAACTAACACAAATATTCCATACATAACATTCCTCATGAGCCCTGTAACTGATCCCCGTGGCACCTCACTCATTTTTTTATTTCAACGGATCTAAGTGAAAAACTGTCAGGAGAAAACTCACCTGACAATGAAGAAAAATCAGTGGATGGTTGGATTACTCCGATATCCGAAACATCTGAGAATATTTCTGAGCGCAGATCATTTTGCAAATTTGCTATTTGACGATGAAGGTTGGAATTTTGTTTCTACAAAAAATTATTCAATTCATTCCGAAGGATTGGTGAAAGAGAAGACAAAAAAAAGGGCCAAACCTGAACTCACTTGTTTCAGAAAAGGGGTGTAGACGCTGTTCAAGCTTTGGTATAAAGCTAGCGCTGGAGAACCAGAAAACGATGTCGTTTGGATGTTCAGCAGCAAATTGTCGTCTGATGGGATGCAAGGCCTGTATTTACTAAATACCACCGTCATTTCGGAGTCCTGGTTGGTGATCTGAAAAACAACAAAATCTCCAAGGGCTTTGAAGCGAGGTACTTTTGATGCCTTACAGTTCGGAAAAATTTCAACCGCTTGTTATCGTCGATTGTCTGGATCACCCCGTATAGTGTGAGGACGTTTTCCATCTCTAGAAAGCTTTGCAGGTCCTGCATTCCTATGATGTCTTTGTCCCAGTTGTCTTCCAAAAAAGTCGTACCCAGGTGGAGACCTGATAAATAAGCACACGAAATATTTTTAGTATTCCAGCAAAAACAAATTCACTTTGAAACATTTCACGTGTGTCATAACGATTGCCTTGCTTATCACTATGGCTTGGTTTTTGTTCTCACAAATTACTCACCTGCGACTTTTATGAAATACTGTTTCGCGAAGTTAGACATGTTTGTCAGTGAGTCCACAGAGTCCTCTCTCTCAGGATATTTGTTTGCATGGCTACCTTCCTAGCAACGCGATGTTATATCTATAGGGGCACGTTATTGTACAGGGCGATTTACAGACCTATCTGAAAACTGCCTTCATGCAAAAGTCGTTTATTTCCAATTAATGTTTCGTGTCGCAACATATGGAAGTGTTTTTATCAATAGATTCATCCTGAATTTGATTATAGAGTAAATTTGTGCTTGAAAAATTAGTGAAATATAGCCTCTACCTTTTGTTATTTGTCACGTGACTAGTCAAATTCGACATTTTTCTCGAAAAAATCCTCAAATAATCCACTTTTTTATGTAAATTTCTAAAAAGGACAACAAAAACAATTGCTCACTTTCCTATTTTATACATTTTCTTAAAATTTCAACTCTCTATTGTTACTTCGACTTTAATTCTTGAATAGAGTAATAATAATAACAATTGGACTGGATCGATTACCGTAAGGCATTTGATACAATTTCGCATTAGCTGATCTTGCAATTACTCAGATGCCTTGCGGTACCCGACAAAATAGTGAGATGCATTAAACAACTGATATCACTTTGACGAACTCGCTTCACTATAATATCTGGTCAAGCAAGAGTCCAAACAGGGTGTGTCATTTTCAGAAGGGGTGTATTTCAGGGTGATTCCCTCAGTACCCTTCTCTTCTGCATCTCACTATTGTCATTATCCGTTGCGCTCAGAAATACTCGAGGGTACAACTGTGGCACCCCCGGAAACCGTTGGCACAAGGTCATCCATTTGTTCTACATGGATGATCTTAAACTTTATGCCTCTGGAGAGTAGGATCTCCATCAGTCCTTTAGGGTGGTGGAAGAGTACACGCATGCTATCGGTATGAAATTCGGGATAGAAACATGTGCAATGGTCCATCTCAAAACAGGAGAATGCGTGGACTACGGAGAGGATGTGCAGCTCGTAGATGGAAGCATCCTACACCATATGGATGCCGGAGAGACGTATACTTACCTCGGTGGGGAACAACGCCACTCACAAGTGGTAGCAGCAGTGAAAAACTCTCTCCGAGGTAAGCATCAGCACAAACTTCGACAGATCTGGTCATCAGAACTGTCGGGGAAGAACAAAATTGTTGCAACAAATATGCTTGCCGTTCCAATCTTACTCTACTCGTTTGGAGTAGTGAAGTGGACTCGGGAGGAGCTGTATCAACTCGAAGTAAAGACCCGAAAAATGATGCATCTCTATAGGAGTTTGCATCCCAAATCGTCCGTTCCACGGTTGTATTTCCCTCGACTACAGGGACTTTTGAAGTTTGGAGTGTCTACATGACAGAATGGTACTAGATACAGCCTGTAAAGTCGTCAGGAGTTCGGATCCCCTTCTCTACATGGTCCGTGACCATTAGAGAGCAGGAATTGGAGCATTTCTCTTTAGGGCAGCTGCCCGAGCAGCTGATGAACTTGGTATAGTTTTTGACACTGAACGAGGTGACCACAACTCTGTCACCGAGTTGGAACCAGTTCAGCAACAATCTCAGATAAAAGCCGCTAAGATCACCTCACTTCTGCGGAAACGCAAGGATAAGCCAATGCAAGGGGTCTTCTTCAATAACATTGGAGACCTTGGCTTATCAAAGCGCCTGACGTTCGCTTTTCTCAGGTCGAGTAGGCTGAAGTCGGAAACTGAGGGGTTCATCATGGCTTGCCAGGATGGTGTCTTCAACACCTTAGTCTACCGCAGTCGCGTGATGGGTATAGAGGTTCCTGACACAAGGTGCAGGGCCTGCCGTGAGGCGCCCGAGACCGTAATGCACTTGCTATCAGCATGTCCAGCACATGCGGTCTCGGCATATATCCATCGACATAACGCGGCCCTCAGGGTGCTATATTACCATCTACGGCACGCTTACGGTATTGACGAGACACCGGTGTTGTCATACGCTTCGGGGGATATTGAATCCGATATTTATTATTAAATACTGTTACGGTATTTTATATAACGATCATGTAATGATGATTATTAATTCACGAGCATTAACAGGAATGGTATGGTTTATGTGAGTGTATTAAATATTACCTATAGGTACTTATATTTGAATTGAACAAAATAACAGTATTTCTTCAAAAAATTCAACAAAATTGTAATTAATGGTATTCCCTCGCGTATTACCAAGGATATAGGAAAACTATAATCATTCTATTTATATTTATATTGCACCTGATAATTGTAATAAATCCGATTTCTTGAAAATATCAAAAGAACGCAACATATTTCTGTCTTCTTGTGATTCAGAGGTAGCGCCCCTTTTTAACTCTCACCAAAAGACGTTTACTGTTCAAGAACAATGAAAATTGAAGGACCTTATGAGAATGTCACTTAAATTAATAGCCTCTGATTTGTAGTTGATATTTCATGATGAATTCGATCGCAATCTTTCAAGAAACACCCATGTTCAACATTCCAAATACCACGCCAGGTGAAAGATTTTTCTCTGCGAACTTTCTGCGCGCCCCTCGTAATATAAGCCCAGGTGAGGTCACCTCGATGACTAACTCATGGGGGAAATGGTCACTCGCAACCTGCTACGATACCGCTGCCTCGTGTTTCAATTCAAACAGTTGAAAGCAGAAAGAATGAAAGAGCATCTACTAGCAGCTGTTTTAACATTTGTTTTCGTATTGCGTTAACGGTTGTCGTTTGTTTGTTTTTGTTATTGTTTGTAGGTGTTTGAAGTGATCAACTTGTGAGCTGATAGTTTGTTGTTGGTTGCTCAGCTTGGTTTCACTGACACAGGTGAGAAGATTTTTTTTATGCTAGAATTACTACGAATTGAAACAGGGTTGGGCTGGGCCCACAGCTTATATATCGGTTTTTGGCTCACATACTGAGGATCAACCGCGCTTTAAATGTGTCATTTTCTTTTCGTGATTACTACATACTTCTGACTTATTCACTATCAGAAAATGCATACTGGGCTTTTGCAAAACATAACATCTCTCTTGTGACTTCCAAAATTATTTTTTAACGCATTAAAAAGTATCGACAACTCTTATTTAAATATCATGTCTTTGTTGAAAACTCTAGTAATATTCAACGTTCTTCCTTTCAAGAAATGCGATAACCTTTGGGAAAGTGGCTATGTTTACATTTTTTTTCACCAACTTTTTTACTAACCGAGTTTCATGATTGGCTGAAGTGTCAAAATTAAATTTGAAGTTATGTTACGGGGAATGCGGCATGGTTATCGACGTCGTGTTCAGTTCAGGAACTGATCGCGATTTGAGTATTGAAATTCGATATTGGTGCAGTTATAATTACTTAAAATTTTTGTTATCTGTTTGAAATGTGACGTCCTTGGACAAGTATTAATAGTAATAACGAGTGTGATACCAACGCAGACTTTTTTCAGTATAGTGATTCCAATAGCGATGATGAGAAATGCGAAAAAGAGATACCAGTGAATAAGATTCGGATGTATTTGAGTATATTTGAATATACAGTGTGACCCATTTTTAATGGAACATCCCCCTAAAATTTGAAGTTGTAAACCGATTTAAATATTTTTTTTTAAATGTCAAGTACTAAAAGGTCTACCTTGGGACAAAATTTGAAATGTTTATTAAAGTTTCAGGGCATACTACGAAATTTTTTCTTAGTCGAAAATCGGGATTTTTTATTAGCGATTTTTTTATTGAAAAAATCACTACGCCACTGGATTCAGAGTGCCTCTANGTAATCAGAAACATTCGTAAGCGCTACGACACATTTATCGAAATACGTGGTGGATTAGTAGAGGCTACTAGAATATGAGTTAGAAAAAATTGTTGCACTGAATCGAAACATTTCTATACCAAAAACCAACAACTTGAAGTTTTACAGACAAGAACATTTGAAAAAGTGTATTCCCTTGAGAGTAAGTAAAATAAAAGCTTGTGAAGAGACATTCAGTCGTCCCTCACGTAGTCATTTTATCTCCACACCTGATAGGATTAAAAAAGTGCCGGATTCAATATTGTGGTGGCATTGATCCACTTATTTTGCAATATTCTTTTTGTCGATGCTTGTATGACGAAATACCCACCGATTGCGCGGTCATACATACATATTACAATTATTATAGTTAATCTGCATTTTTTAATGGCGTTCATCCAATTGAGCACGATGTTTCAAGGTACTTAATTGTTTTAATATTATTTCACTCATGAATAATACTTCTTGGAAATTGTGAAACAAATAGTGGAAATACAGGGGCTGTCTGGTTCATCTACGTATAGCTTCTATTTAGGATGACCATAATATTTTTATGGGATTCAAATCCGGTGATCGGGGAGGTCAATCAGTTGAACGATAACGCAAATTTTCCAGGGTTAACTTTGTTTCAATGAGTCCAAATCCTACTATGGAAAGTTTTGAAAAGTTTAGAAAGAAATAACTTTCTGAAGTATTGCGACTACTTAGAGATTTATATCGCTACAACTTTTCACCTGGTGATTATATGCAGTGGACGTGTCTTAATTAAGACACGCCCGAGGAAGCCATTGTATGGCGAAACACGTGTTGTGTTTTTGTAAAACTATCTAGTGGAATACGTGTTTTTCGAATACGTTAGTTATGGATTTTCATCAAATATCGGCCGATTCCATCATACAGTGTGTCTCACTTCTCATGGAAACACCCCCGTATCTTCCGTAATATTCGAGGTGGAACGATGAAACTCTCAGGACTGATGGAAATGCTCAAAATGCATCTACCACCTGAATGGGGTTGGCCAAAGTGATATACACTGTCCGCCACTCGCGATGGAACACCCCATATTTACGGTAAAACATATTAGGGGGAAAATAGGCTCAAAATTCCTTCAGATTCGTGATCAGGACTACCAACTTACTACGGATACACTTTTTTCCTAAAAAAATTTCAGTCCTGAAAAATCCGAATTTGTCTCACTTCTCATGGAAACACCCCCGTATCTTCCGTAATATTCGAATGGGGTTGACCAAAGTGATATACACTGTCCGCCACTAGCGATGGAACACCCCATTTTTAGGTGAAACATAGGTGCAAAATAGTTCGCTTCCAATATCTGAACCCCTTCATTCTATCTGGAGAGTATTCTCAGGTATGAAAGATACAGATGCTGTGAGATGCTATCATCCATTTTGAGCCAATCTCAGGAAAATGTCACAGCACCACATTCTCAGATTATCGAGATAGTGTATGAAAAATTATCGATGGCGGCATCTATTATACCTGAAGAAGATTATTCGTAAAACTAATTCTGGTTGCTGAACATCCAAATTCTATCCCAACGAGAAGTGAGAGCTCTCGACTGATGAGCAAAAACTGCAAAAAATAGAAAAAATCTATATTCAAAGGTTCACATCTCGAAAACTGTACAATTCTGAGCTTTAGATGTGGACACTTCCAATCAGAACATCAAGAACTACAACATATCAAAATTTCGGCAAAATTCAAGGCAAGCCATTTCTCATAAGAAATGTGCGGGGTCCTTTATCAAAATATTGAGGAAACATTTTACCATCCGAAACAAAATTAATCTTCATACTCATTGCAACACCGAAACAACTGTTAATTTTTAGAGAAAAAATCGCACTCGGTGAAACTACCTTTGGATGTGAGACACAACATGATTTTTCAGTTAGATGGTTCACTGGTTCACAATAGTGGCATAACAAGGGTTTGGTTGAATAGGAATCTACCTATGTAATGAATGGCCCTCTCGTAGTATGGCCACCACGATCCCCAGATTCAACTCCACTGGATTTTTATTTATGGGGAAACTTGAACAATAAAGTTTATAAGGATAGGCCAACAAATAAGGAAGATCTCCGTGCAAGAATTATACAAGCGTGTAGAGAAATCACACCTAAAGAACTGAGAAGAGTTGGAGGAAATAATGGAAGGCGCATAGAAAAATGTGTTCGATTGAAGGGAAATTTCATAGAAGGCACGAAAATATAAAATTGTCAACAGTTAAATAATTTGAAATTGATTGTTTTGTTTTTTAATTGAAAATGTGATTTTGAAAGTAGTATTTCGAAAGAATTTTGAACTACATAACATTTTTCGCAACAAAATATCCTTGTTTTTTTTTTTAAATAATGGGAAAATGAGAATATGAACATTAACCATCCTAAAACCTCACTGATTACATGTTTCCGTTCCTCTTACAAAATTACCATTTCCTCTCTTATTGAGAAGGAATAACTTTCCTGACAACAAAATAAATTATTTATTTGAAAACAAAAGTCGAGTTTCTCTTAAACAATTTCGTTCATCTTCTGATGTCAAAACCGAAAAAAAATCTACTTCAATTATTACAGAAGATACGGGGGTGTTTCCATGAGAAGTGAAACAAATTCGGATTTTTCAGGACTGAAATTTTTTCAGGAAAAAAGTGTAATCGTAGTAAGTTGGTAGTCCTGATCACGAACCTGAAGAATTTTGAGCCTATTTTGCGCCATAATATGTTTTACCGTAAATATGGGGTGTTCCATCGCGAGTGGCAGACAGTGTATATCACTTTGGCCAACCCCATTCAGGTGGTAGGTGCATTTTGAGCATTTCCATCAGTCCAGAGAGTTTCATCGTTCTACCTCGAATACTACGGAAGATACGGGGGTGTTTCCATGAGAAGTGAGACACACTGTATATGCAGCGGACTTGGATAGAAGAATCGCCGAGGACTAGTACCTCGTAGAGTATTTTATTTTCTTTAAACATAAGAATTGAAAGAGCAGTTTGGGGTAAAGTGAATTAATTAAAGACCAACAGATGCTTACATTTTATATTATAGGTACAAGAATCGGCTCCTTACATCGTTAATTAGAACATAAGAATCAATGACATCACCTTCACGTTTTTCTTTATCGTGATTTTTTTTTGTTTAGTACCCATACATCAGGCAACACCCTGGGTATTAGTTTATGTTTAAATCGTGTAGTTATCTCTTGTATATTTTAGTGTTTTTTTGTAATAAAAGCCAACTGAATCACTTGGTGCCCATTTTGATTAGAAATCTTTTAATTAATTGGTGATAACATTTTTGATCCACGGCCCTGTAGAATGTTTCGAGTTGGTAACTAAACCGACCGTACTTAAACAAAAAAAATCTAACTACGTTTCATCTGGTTTTCCTAAATTTCGTGTGCAAAACTAATTTCCTACTTTTCTTCAGGATCTAAGTCACACAGAGAAATGGGATGGGGCCGGAACATGGATGGCTGTGGAAATTTCATTAAATACAGTTTATTCATAGTGAATTTGATCATTTGCGTAAGTATAGTTTCTGTTCAAAACAATATTTTAACTGGAAAAATGAATCTATTGAAGTAAATCTTTAGCTTTACCATTCATATGCTGATTATATACCAACGTTGCTGCATAACCCATCATTGACTCAATATCCTTTTCCAGCTGGGAGGTTCAGTAGCAGTGGCTTTGGGATTATGGATCGCCGTGGATAAATCTTTTGCTAACGATCTCCTTGGAACTAATCTCTACTTTGGCTCGACCTGTGTTATAATAGCCACTGGAATCCTGGTGACATTTACTTCTTGTTTGGGATGTCTTGGTTCCATCAAGGAAGTGAAATGTATGCTTGTCATCGTAAGTAAATTGATACATTCGTCATCTCAGTTTTACTTCATTATCCTTCCATTTTCTGGTTGTAATCACTTTTGAAGAAATAAGAGGCCATTTTTTCTCCTCCTTTGAATGGAACATTTTCTCCTTCGTAGATTAGAAGTTGAAAAAATTATTATTTTGATTTTCAACCTCTTACTCTGAACTTACAAGAATTTTTCTTCCAGTACACTATCACCCTATTCCTTATTTTCGTTACAATGTTCGTGGGAGGCATTCTGGGATACGTCTTTCGAGAAAAAGTACAAACCACCATCAGGATAGGCATGGAGAGCTCTCTACGAGACTATGGAAACTATCGACCAATCACCGAAGCTTGGGATGAAACCCAAACCAGGTAAATACACAATATTCACAATAGTACACTATAGATACTGTTGAGGGTCTTCATCCCTGAAAAAAAAGAAGTCAGAAACGATTTTTCTTATTCTGATTGAGGAAAGATTGTATGAGTGTATAAAGGAAAAATAATAAAAAAAATATTTTTCGAATATTAGATGAATAAAAAGTATTCTCTCTCTCACTTTTGGGCATTTTTCTTCAATTCCACCATCAAAACTAACGAATATTTTGGTGTTATTCCATTTCGGTATTGAAGCCTATCATTTTCTCAGTTAAACGACTTTCTCATTTTTCTTTTTAATGTTTCCTTTATTTTGTTATTAATTTAATAACAATGTGTTATTTATACGAATTTGACTTCCTTGCATTATGCCTTTCGAAATGGGAAATATCAAATTTTATCAAAGTCAACTAATAAAGTTTCGCTTCAGCCGTCGACTAGTGAAAACTAATTATTACTTTTGAATCTGGAGTCAGAATAGTAGATGAATTTGTTTTAAATGACACGCCCGTCAGGTAGCTCCTCCCACACGTCTGGTGAGGGAGAGAGAGAGTATCGTAGAGCCATTGTTAAATGTAGCACAGGGTCCGATTGAGAATAGGAAAAGATAAAAGTTATTCTGACCGAACGAAAGATCAAAATATTAAAATTTCTACAATAATCAGATAGTTTTCAACTTACCTATCTGTATGTTTGCGTGTGTACACGTTTATATCAAATCTTGCAAGTCTAATATCTTCCGATTGGCTTGAAATTTTACAGGTATTCATTACTAGGGACAAAACTTCATGATATTTTCATATTAAGAAATACTAAGATGGAGGCTCTAGAATGTTGGACGAATTTCATTATTTTTGATTTGATTACAATCAAAATTGGTAGCAAAAACATTGTTGGATTTCATTTATTTTCAACAGTTGCATACACATCAGCGGAATTGAATTATTCACGATTGGTATTGACTTATATTTTCTAACCCTTTATATGGAATCAGACATATTATTTAAACTGTGGACCTTTCCTGCAAAATATTATATTTAAATCATTCAATTTTAAAAATATATCTGGCAATATGAAATAATTTTGAGGAAAAATATGAGTAATTTACCCCGGAGAGCCCTAGATGAATTATTTTTGAGGATCCGACTATGAATCATAAAATCTTTCCGTCATTTCAAACTAATGCTGAAAATTGATATTGTGAAAGGACCCTTACTTGAAAGACAAAATCTGATACTTGCTTTCTTATCATCTGATTTTCTGAACACCCTGCTCATGTTTTCGAAAAAATAAATTTTGAACAGAACACGACTATAAATCACAAAATAATCCATAGCCATCTTTATGCTGCTATTTTGAATTCTTGAAATTCATTAAAGATTCATAATGTGCGACCCCGAAAACCCCATTGAATATGAATCTGATAACACAACTTGTCTGTCACCTTGAATTCATTAATTTTGACAATACATTTATATTTTAGGGCCCCAAAAAATCCACATACTAATTTCAAATCGATTCGGACCATAATCACATATCTCGTTCGATATCTTGGAACCGTCATCTTGAATTCGTTAAGTTTGACAAAAGATTCATAATCTCTTCCTTATAACAAGTCAAATCGGGCCCTAATCACAAATCTCGTCCGCATCTTGAATTTATCAATTTTGATAAAAGATTCATAATTTTCAAATAATCTGCAATTTTCGTGCAAACTTTGAGATCAACACGAAAACGAATATGTTTTAATCTAAAATGTAATTTGGAAGGACGAACACGTCGGCGAATAAAGTTCGGCCCTGGAATGCCCCGGCCTGGTCAAGTTAGAATTAGGGAGGAGTTTGTATTTATTTCATCGGGCGAAATCGCACTGCCATCTGGCGGTATACGTTTTCATAACTAAAGGCTAAAGACACTTAATCATTCCCAGAAGGGGATTAGTCTTTATAAATGCAGGACCATTTCCTCGTAATTTCAATAAAAACGATATGTGTTCGTTGAGTCAAGTTTCAATGGTTCATGATAATTGTCCAATATACTATCACTCACAGATTGCAGTGTTGTGGCATCTATGGACCAAAGGACTGGCAGAACAGGATTCCTGAGTCCTGCTGTAAGATGACGTCTGCTGGTAGACGGGTTTCCTGTCAACAACTGGGAGAAAACAACAATTCTTTCACTATCTTCACTCCTGGGTGTCTGCCTGTCACTACAGAATTCGTGAAGAAATACGCTGTAGTACTGGGAACTGCTGGGATCGTAGTTTCTTTTTTGATGGTAAGTTTGCAATGATTGTTTATGAATAGAAAATATGCCATTGCCATTTGTATAGCTGCTTACCATTCGGCAAAATTGGCAAAGGAACAAAAGTTTGTGGTGTGGGAAACTATTTGATTATTAATAGGAAGGCATGAGGTTGTGCGATTTTTTTTAGTGCATTTAGCAGATGTAATAACTCAGTCAAATTTTGTGTAAGCATTGTAAATGTCGTATATTGTAGATCATGTTGTTACTAATGAAATTGTTCTGGTTGATTTTCAGATTCTGGGAATGATTTTCTCTTGTTCGTTATTCAAGATGATTGAATGAAGTGCCATAAATCGAAGAGAAGCCTTCTTGAATGCCAGTGGTTTTTCTGATATAATCGTGCGAAGTGTTAACAGTTAAGAGTTATGTATATTTTTATTTATAATTGTCGCTTTTATAAGTATATTATACGGCTAGTGGTATAGTTTTTTGCTCACTTATGAGTTGTGATTATCATGCATATTTTCCAAGTATTATGTAGATAGAAATAATATATTGATGAAGCATAGTGAAAATACAGCCACTATACCGTAAAGAAAAATCACTTGGTACTAGATCAGGAGATGCAGTTGGCTTGAGATGATTCCTCTACATTTGTATCAAATTATTTAAAAAAAATGCGATTAGAGATATGTATATTTGGGAAAATATTCAATTTGTTGGTTCTACTTATTGTCGAATCTGTTGGCTGTATAATAAAGTATAGATTCAAATAGTTTAGTTTGAAAATATTGAAGTCTGAGTACAAAAATTGATTTTTTTCGAATTACACGATAACTGTGCCCATTATGTGCTTTCTGATTCTATTTGATAATGTATTATATATACTTTTATAGCTACGTACTTACTTTTATACCAGTATTTTCAATAAAAACAAAGAAACAAATAATTTTCAATTTCTGATTTCAATCAAAATTTTTTGAACAACAAAAATCTTTTAAGGTCTCTATTCTGTTTCGTCAAATAATTTCATTCAGAATTTTGGGATTAAATACATTCAATAATATACTGACTATAAAAGTCATATCAAGGATACCAAATTATACTAGCCTTCCAATGATAAATCCATATAAATTGAAAGGGAATATACCCCTTTGGGAGAGATCAATTTTTTTGAAAAAAAAGTGTGGCTTTCTAGGGAAAAGTGTTTTCAATGTTCATGTAAAATTAGTCGTCTCAAAAGTATTTTTTCTTCCGCGTAATTCAATGTTTATTTGAAGGTAGGAGAGGGCTGTTTCTTCTCCACATATTTTTGAAGAGTTTATTTCGAAATCGATTGCTTTTTCCTTCTTTTGGGAAATTACTGCATTTTTTTGTATAAAGATTGAGGAGTTAAAATCCAAAACCCTTTCTAAAAATCCATATATTTTTTGAGCTCTACTCATACCAATTTCCTTATGATATTTTCCACAAACTTTTGAAGGAGTCACTTCTAACCAGATTCTAAGTATTGACCAATTAAATCACATAGAAGAGTATTATTTTCAATCCACTCAACCTCTAGTAACTGAATACAACACAGGCTTTGGAGGAAATGAAACAACCAATAAAATTTACAACTTTTATTTTACGAAACATATCATTTTTCGCAAGTAATGCCTTACATGAAGAGATTGAATATTTACATCAATTATGCAAAATCCATCGAGTATTACAATAGGAACAGAGGCAAATCATGGAAGGTACGATGAGTTGTCCAGCCACAACTAATCATACCAAGTTAATAATAGACACATAACAGGCCATGTAGGAAACGAATGATCACGAAACAGAGACAGCAAGATAGTGTGTAACACATGGAACAGTAGCTTGTCACCTGTCAAAGAATCGCCAGTTCTGTGGCCGTTTGCCCACAGAAAGATTTAGACTAGTTAAGAAACGCCATAGAACAGTTCATAACGCTCGAAATGCTTAGGCCTTGCGTTGCAACTCCAGTCGTCTCGATAGCCTTACAAAAAGGTCTCCCAGCGTTGACCTTGTTCTTGCCTACGAGCCATTAGCTGAGCGAGAAGAAGTGCCAGGGGTGAGTTTGCGGGAACTTTCAATTCTTCGAACGATCTGGGTGGAAGGTGATCGATGGCTGCGGAGTTGACCAAAACCAGTCGTTCGTCAGCGTTGTTGTGAGAGAGGGGGGTGGTTTGGTGGTTTCTGCCGAAGCGCATGAAGTTTGAGCTCTTGCCGAATCTGAGGTAGGCGTCCGTGCGTTTGGGAACCTTGTCTGGGGTTGCTTGTCGCTTGGAACGGGGTTTTTCTTGGATGCTTCGGCCTGGAAACAGAAATAATTTCAGAAACGTTTATTACCGATGTTGTAGAGTAATAACGGAGGTACACGATGATTCCAAAGAAGTTGTACACGAGAATTTGCATTTTTTTGTATCTTGTAGCATTTACAGAGGGAAAAATTATGTATTGATAGGTAGGAAATGTAATCTAGTAAAAACAGTTTTGCATACCAAAACTAGATAATTTTTGTACAGATCTTGAATACAGATTATTTACTGTATTGACACGATGTCCACTACATGAGTTTCTCGATGTTAATGAGCTTCTCCCCACTCCTCCAGCTAATCTACTGCATATTCAATATTCAAAGGCATGCAGGAATAAAATATAAGCTCGTCATTTTGGATATGCAGTTAAACTTTGTGACGAATATATTTTTGTTTGAGCTTTCCTAGGTTTCAAAAAGTTAACGGGAGTTCATGCAGTTGGTATTATTAATAATCCATATCTCCTCTTATGATGCACTGTTTGGAAATTTGGTGTAGTATCTCATATCTCCTCTGACGGTGACAGTAATATTGGTCCTACTGAAATGTAGTTCCAATAATGATATCAGCATCATCATCAGCTTGTTTCAAAAGAATTGGCAGAGACATGGTTACTTTTCAGTTTGATCCTCTCCATCAATGTATCATTGTAGATTATTTTCATCATCGTGAGGTTCGAAGTAAACACGCAGTTGTGTTCCAATTTTTCTGCTTCCCCTGTATATCAGCAACCCGAAACTAACCAACTAACGGTGATATACCGCTCCTTAGAACGTTGCATTTGACATTTCGCAGTATCATACGAGAAATCCGAACGATATACATTGTGCTGCCAGCTCGACAACAACCACCGTTAATTGCCCTACTGCGCGTTACGTCTTTCCTGCTGCCGTTCCTGCAGGAAACCGTGGAATATAAACTGCAGCGAATAAATAGACATTGAGAAAGCGAGAAGAGGTTGATGAGGTTCACAGAGTTTATTGGTTATCATATCTCTATCCATAATTTTTACGGTAATGGCTGATTTGTGTTCCTTTTATCGATAGACGCAAGATTTTGCTTCTCGGCCAGAAAAACTTATATAAGTGGGTGAACGAGGAACTTTGTGAGGTATCGGGCATAAATCTTTATCGGATATAACTCAATATTCAGCGTGGTATCAGCCGGGGAAGTAGTTGTTTTTCGGCAGGTACTTACCTGAACCTACCATGTAGGTTCGTTATTATTAATATGTTGTATGTGTTACGTCGTGATGAAATTCATGCCCTTCTGCTAAAAGGTGATTTGCAAATGTGGAATTGATCTTTTTATTTACAAAACTACTTCTATGGTCTTTAATTCTTTGGGAAAACGTTCTCCCTGTCTGGCCAATATACGCTTTTGGGTAGGAACCACAGATACGTAGATGATATCTCAGTCTGTTTTACTGGTACAGATAGGCAATTACGCAAGTTCGTTGAATATGTCAATTCCATTCGTCCGTCAATAAAATTCAATAAATTACCTTGCCTTAACCATTATTGAAAATAACAATAAACATTGATTTGCAATTTTCCACAAACTATCTTACACTGACATTATCATACATAACTCCTCCACACACCCTTTACCAGCATAAAGTTGCTACATTCAATAGTATGCTTCACAGACTATTCAGACTATTGAATATCTCACTGCCTGAGAGTAATTTCCAGGGAGAGCTGAGTTTTATCAAACAAATCGCGGTTAACAACGGACATAAGGTAGTTATTATAGAATCCATTCTTTCCAAAAAACCACAAAAGCAAGCCATGGACCAGGATTATCCAAATTCAAGATACGATAATGTCAGTTACACGACATTGTCATATTTGGGTGAAGAACCCACCAATAATATTGCTCGTTTTTTGAAGAAAGAATGCGTAAACGTAGCTTACAGAACGTATAATAGTTCTGAACAAGTGAATTTATTGAAAACGATAAAGACAAAACTTCGATGTCGGATAAATCAGGAGTATATACGCTGACTTTTGGCTCTTGCCCAAAACTGTATATTGGACAAACAGAGAGAATGTTTTCCCAAAGAATCAAAGAGCACAGAAGTAGTTTTGTAAGGTGAAAGTTTGAAACTCAATCTTCTAGAATGTTTAGAAATCAATAGATTCAAGAATTCGGATGATTTAGTTACTGATCAATTAGAATCGAATAACTCTCTGTTACTAAATATTTTTTCAAATGTGGAAAATGGGACATGAGCTCAGGTAATTTAATTCATTACAACTCAGGTACTTGGAATGTAGGTACTTCAGCTTGTAAAATTAGGTATATTAGGCATTGAAAATGTAGAATATCATGTGTTTTTGTAAAACCGTTCAGTGAAAATCTCACAAAGCGTTTTTCAAGTACGTTTTTATCAATTATTATTATTATTATTAAATGAATGGCACAATTTTGTCAGTAGTGATGAAGTCTCCCAAGCTACTTCTATTGTCAATGTTCACAACCTGAAAAGATCATCAAAAGCTCCCAAACACTCACCAAATCTCAAGTGGAACCCTTTATCATGAGTCCTCTTCTCCAGATCCCTCCCCAGCCTCAAACATCTGTCGTGGCTGCTCCTGCCGAACCTTATGAAGTGGTCGTTCTTCAAGTTCTTCTTCCCGATTATCGGACCGTCCTCGTCATCATACTCGTCGAAGTTTCCGTCGCTTCTGGCTAACCGCAGAAAGTGGTTGTTAGGTTTTTCGATTTCGTTGTCATCCGAGTCCATATCATCGGGGTAGTAGCTGTAGGAGTCCGGAGTTTCGTGGTAGGATTCCTCCAGGTTGGCGAAGGAAGATTGGAAAAGGAAGAAAATGAAGAGGAAGATCGGAAGCATTGCTTCGAGCTGAAATAGAAGGACCAGTAAGTATTTCATATAATAGCGAGCCGTGCCGGATCCACATAGGTGCAATTTAGGACTGTCGGAAGATAGTGTGTGTTGCCTCTGTTTGGAAAATGATGAAATAGCAGAGCATATGTGCCTGGTGNATGGGTTACCTTTATAGCATAAATAAGGTTAGCTAGCATTTATTTCTAGTTTTAATCTTCCTGTTTGAAGATGATCACTTGGTGATCGAAACACGTGTTGAGGTGTTAAAAATAACGATTTGGTGTTGGAAAAAACTTCAGTAATATTCAGACTTCATTTGAACTGAGCTACTTCAGTGTGGTAATACTGCCAATGAATGATGACGGATTTTTCAGAGTGTCTTGTAGAAATTTCAAAATAGTTCTCAATAGAATCACTGAAGTGAAGTTGATCAAATTGAGAAGCGTCTGGATAATACCCGGGTGTACCCAGAAGTACACGGCCTGCCCTAGAGATGGCGGTAGTTGTCTGAAAAATATCGCGATATTAGAAAGTACAGAATCTATAAAGCATATGTTTCAAGTTTGAAGACGCTGCGTTGTTTAGTATTTGTTTGGCAGCCATCAATAGCGAACATTTTCGGTGAATTTGTGAAAATGGAGAAAGTTGCTTATCGTTTCATTTGAAATGCGAAATATGCCAATTAAACTGCTCACACTTTTCTGTGGTCAATAATCCAACTATTGTTATTGAATATTTTGATTCAATTGTTTTTCACACCAGAACAAAAATATTGTTAGCACCATCTTCTGTGGAAAACGCGTCTCCAGTAAAATCCGTTGTGTAGAAATTGACTAATTTTTCTCATGGATTGCTTTATCCGATTTCATCAAGTCAGTGGGTCAGTTTATTAGTAACCTCCAGTACATTTATCCACATTTCGAACAAGAAGAGCAAATCTAATAATGACCTACTTAAATTCAAACATTATATATATGGAACAACTGTGCAAATACAAAAACTTCCAATTATCGAATACCTTTCGAAATATGATTTAAAATCGCAAATAAAGCATTTATGAATGGCCCAAGGCAAAACGAGCGAGAATCACAAACTTGAGGAAACCACGCAGCTGATTTTGTAAGGATTTTCCATTGAAGCTATTCTACAACTACAAAGAACAGGTTTGTGTTTCATTATTACGGATGGTATGTTCACAAATGATATTAACTTTATGTTGTACCACGAAGAGATAATTCAGCCTTTTTCCTCGAAATCTCAAACAGACTTCATTTGTTTATGATGCACTGTTTGGAACCTTTGGTGTAGTAATTATTATTACTGGAGTTTTTTCCAGGAGTTTTTGAAAGCCGACAAAGGTAACAAATAGTAATTCTGGATAAATCGGACTACTACGAAAGGGTCAATACTCTCATTACTAACGGACCGTATGCGAAATTGTCCAGGAATCCGTTACCAAAGATGATTGCCGAAGTAAAAGACGTCCTCAAGAAATGCGACAACATACTTACCCCTCAACAGAAACGGAAGTTACAAGTTTCCAACCCAACGGTGTCAAAACTATATTGCCTCCCAAAAATCCACCAACCAAGCTATCAGGGATTTCAAC